ACTGTCGTATCACTCAGGCTCACTCACTGCATAGAGACAAAACTAAGTATGACATTATATTTTCATAAATCAGTTGCATGGTACTAAGAGCAGCCCGCGGGCCCGCGCGTCTTGCCAGGGACAGCTGTGGGCTAGCGGAGCGACGACGCAGGTCACGTCGACACCGGTTTTATAATTTCGCATTCACTTGACACAGAAAGCGACACACACACACACACACATGCTGAGCTCGCTGATGTCGTCATTGTTTCACTTAAAGCTGCGTATACTCGTAGAAACAGAAAGTACTCACCGGTAGGGGACGGCTCCTGCCGCAAACACGTACTGCGCGCTGTACGCCGCATTGAACAATATGGGCAGGAGGATGAAGCAGTAGATCTGAACTTGGTAGCGACCGAACTGGCCTAGTTCCGCTAATATTGAATCTAAATCTATTATGGGCTTTTCAGGAGACATTTTTACAGAACTCTACTGTGTCTAATCATCAACGCAAGACTGTACCGCGACTGTAACGGTGTGTGCCGTGCATGGACCGCGCCGCGCGACGCCTGACAATCGTCTGTGGGCACATTTTCCGTTTATCTAAGTTTTCCTTATAAATCAACTCGATTAAGCAGTGTATTATCAAACAGTCGGTCGCCGGTCTGCCCGTGTGTCAGTATGTAGTGTGCTGGAAGGATCGCCGTAGTTCGGAGATCGCGCTACTCAGCCACGACGCGGCGACGGCTCCGCTACGAGGGGAGTGCACCACTCTACGCAAACTTATTTAAGCTTATTTAATTATTTAGCTAAGTGCAGCAGAGTTTATACGTACACTGAGACCGATAGCTGTGGGCGATTCTGTGTAATTTATTACTTAATTCAAATTTGAGTAATTTCATTTAATTCTAGATCACAGCATCGCTAAAGATCTTTAATCGTCTCATCGGGATGACTCAAGTGGAGACTGGACCTTTACTACAGGCTAAAGTGCTCTGGGGCTTCAGATCTGAGTCTTTATCGGGGTCAGTCTCCTTTTTCTCATGTTTTTATTGTCATGTGTATTTTCAGTAGCCATAAGACAGAAGTTGAATTCGGAATATTTATTTGTAACTATACTTTGTTTAAAAGATGATCCAAATTAGATTTGAGGTGTGCATATGTGCACATCCGCTTGCGCCACCGCCTCATAGAATCCATAAAATCAACGTATCAATGCTGAACTTAAGCAAGTGCTATCTGTGCAAGTCGTGAAAATATTAGGATAGGAGAGAAGTCGTACCCAACACCATTTTATAAATATCTTCCAATGAGTCCATCCCGCTTGTGTTAAGTCATTACCAGAGGCAGTGGACCAACCTGATTGTCTCCACCCAACTTGTATAGAGACTGTAGGATGGGACTACAAACCGAACTGCATGGCACGTCACGCCACAACTCAGCAAGACGTGATGAAAACAGTGGAACGTCAGAGGCATGTTTGAAAAGAATCCTCACCCTTCGCAGGAAGCCATGGGGTAGTAAATAGACGTGGTAGTGGTACGCACAATATTATTTATATTTGAACATCGCCAAGGCACTTTGACTGTTTGTTCACTGCTACTGTCGCAAAATCTTGTTTGCTTATCATGTTATGAATTGACATCAATGTTCGTCTTATCAAACATTACTGTGCAAATAATTATAGATTTCAACAATGTTATCGATCGTTTTCTTTAATCTTACGATATCAGTGGCCCCATACATCACGAATACTTTGCTCGCATACTTATTTAAGGAGCTAGTTATTAATTAGATCGAGTGAACTGTTCTGTAATATCATACGTAAAGTAACCCATGTGGTCACTATGTAAGCAGTATGCAGCTGGCCATGATCTAGCGTATAATTAAGAAGTCGGAAGTCATGGCGTTTGAGACCGGGGGTAGAAGTTCTGATAAAATGCCACCTATATTACTCAGCGGTGCCCCGTCGAGAAGGGTATTTCAATTTTGAATATCTAAGTCATTGGCTTATTCCTGACCTGAAAGACGATGCCGATATGAACGAAAACTGAGAGCGCTGTAGAAATGAGCAAGCATGCTAGCGCGCAGCTCCACGCGCTGCTCTATGAGAGTCAAAGTGACACTCTTCCGAGCCTTCTAAGCAAGGCTGTACACGTGCAGTTTGTGGCCTAAAAAGCACACTCAAAGCTCGTACAGCACCCTCAGGGTTCAGTATAATAACGCTTTCAGGGGATCGGTGGGCTTGCTCAGCTTCTGTGGCGTTTCTAGGATGTTCACGAACGCACGTGTATATTGCTTCGACACTAGTATGGAGAAGAGGTGTTGCCAGGGTGTAGGGCAGCTGAAACACCCTGTTTAAAATGATCGCCAGTAGTCCGATAATGTATATATAACTCGCTGCCGCTTCGCCTCTCATGGGAAGTTGCAGCGGTCATTTGCATATTTATTTTAATATTGCACACATAATTTTTATTTTGATACCTACTAACATAGTTTTAGGAGGTGTACTAAGATAATGAATGAGTTCTGGTCACTTCAATAAATAAATATACTATTATTGCTTTTGACTTTTGCACTTCAATCAACTTTTTGTTGTTCGTGTTGAATTATTTGTAGGAACTTGACACTGTATCATCGCTAGTAGTGTGTTATTACTATAGAGGACAGGCGAGCTCGCGGCACACTTGTTATTAAGGGTCACTCCATTTCAAAGTGAATGTCGCCACCCTAATAATTTTTTCAAAGAAATGCGCTGTCTATTGAACTGTCCGGTGCATTCGTATGTAGCGATGCACCGGTGTTCGAAACCCGCAGGCGGGTACCAATTTTTCTAATGAAATACGTACTCAACAAATGTTCACGATTGACTTCCACGATGAAGGAATAACATCGTGTAATAAAAATCAAACCCGCAAAATTATAATATGCGTAATCACTGGTGGTAGGACCTCTTGTGAGTCCGCACGGGTAGGTACCATCGTCCTGCCTATTTCTGCCGTGAAGCAGTAATGCGTTTCGGTTTGAAGGGTGGGGTAGCCGTTGTAACTATACTGAGACCTTAGAACTTATATCTCAAGGTGGGTGGCGCATTTACATTGTAGATGTCTATGGGCTCCAGTAACCACTTAACACCAGGTGGGCTGTGAGCTCGTCCACCCATCTAAGCAATAAAAAATAAATAAAAAAAGAACTTGTTTGAATGTAATACAGTCATTGATTTCTGTGACAAGAACCTGTTTACAAGCGATTTTCAGCTGCTTACATTCGCGACACGCTTCCTAAGTCGGACATTACTCATTACATTATTACTCATTGTCTCCTGTTCTGACCGACGCATTAGAGCGTGTGTCTACAGGCCAGCTTGTCCACTAAATATCCCGTTGGAGAATGTAACCCATTTTATTATTACTTAGAAACTGAGTGGGTTGTGCAGTGTGTAAAGGTAATACTTCGAGTCTTCGTGTTCCCCCCTCACGGACGCACGGACCGGGCAAGGGTGATGTTCTTGCTGGGTGGTGTTAACAGATACATACATTTAATAAAGAGGGATGATAATGATTAATGAAATGTATTGTGATTTGATGGGAATGATGATTGTTTGCACACACAGGGAGCGCGCGGCGCGGACCTCTCGGTGGCTAACTTCAGTTGTAGAGGACAGCAGCGACCCGGCATACGACGGAAGCGACTTGGAAACTAAACGGTTTGCTTGTTTAACTCATCCGTATCCTTACACTACTATGGACTACCGGGTTACTATTTCAATGCATTGTTCATCAATCTGGCAGGATCCAATTTATATGATTTAAGTTTATTATATATTTTTAAGTGAGTGTTGTAGGCGTGGCCTGGCGTGGCGGGCTAGCTGTTGTAATGTAGTAGATATCGGGCGCATGTAGGTCGGTTTTGAAATGTGACTGAACAATGCAATAGTTCCGACGGTGGTATCTTTCGCACTCTGCGCTCGATTTGGTAATAATCATTTGTTTTTTCAATAGATAAGCACTTACCTTTTAATATGAATAATCCTCATAAGAGATTTATTATGTAAAATAATTTCAAAAGTTAATAATTCTCATTGTCACTACAAAATTATTCAGTGCCTATGTACTAAATAACAAAAATTTACAGCCCAAATAAAACTATGACACATCCAAAAGTCACATCCCCGTAAAGACCTGACTTTACCAGTCTGTGTTACAATATTTGATCCCAGGCTAATAAACAAAGTTTAGGTCAGCCAAAAATTTATTTTCCGTAATTTAGCGTATCGTAGATCGTAGCGATCGGTTCCTACAGGCGATATTGTCACTAGTGGTAGGATATAATGAGTTCCGCTATCCTGTATGCTATTGAGATTGAGGCAACACATCTCCAAGTAAATGGCCGCATTCAACCTATCTGATGTCTATGGACTTCAATAACCACTAACCACTAACCACTGAGTAGATCTTGAGATCTTTCACCCATTTAGGCAATAAATAAATAGTTTGCGTATTCCGCAACACATAAGCAGGATTTGAATTGTACGTAACAAATCTACATCCTACATCGTATAAACTCGAAGCACGCTCGTGAGCGGCGAGCGCACACTTCGCGAGCTCGCTTTATTTATTATCTTTTATTTTATTTTTAATAATTTTTTATTTTTTACTAAATTATTTTTTATTACATTTCTTATTTATAACTTAAACTATTGTTGCTGTTTTACCATTATTCCTACTATTTGGAAGTTTTGTACGAATCACGAATAATACAAAAACCTCTTATATCAAATAACATTAGAATATATCTAAGGTTTACATAATTATTATTATACATAATTCAATAGCAACTAAAAAGATCATAAGACGCTTGAAGTTGACAAGACAGTTCAACTCCGGCCTTGGAATGAGCTCCCCTCCACGGTGTTTCCCGAGCGCTATGACATGTCCTTCTTCAAACGAGGCTTGTGGAGAGTATTAAGCGGTAGGCAGCGGCTTGGCTCTGCTCCTGGCATTGCTGAAGTCCATGGGCGACGGTAACTACTCACCATCAGGTGGGCCGTATGCTCGTCTACCTACAAGGGCAATAAAAAAAAACTCAGCGGACGTGCCTTCGTGCCCGAGGCCCCAGTGGAGGTCCAGGTCAGAGAATGGATGAGCTGAAAGTTTACAGTCCGTTCGTAGGAGTAGGTACTTATTCCCTAAAACGTAAGAGTAAAAAGATTTCGGATGAAAATTGTATAATGATTGTAAATTGTAAATTGTTTCACGCCAAAAATACACAAGCCTTTGGCAAGTGGCGGGTAGCCATCATACAACGCAAGATATTTGACAGATTTCTGAATCTCACTAATGGCATTTTTAAAATAAGCTTGCATATATACAAGTTCCGAACCGGACCGTCGGTCTACCGAGCAAATATCAACCGCTCGGTGGAAGATCTTCACTTCGTCGTAATCCCCAAAGTAACTAGAATTTCATACAAAATTGTATGTAAGGAGTACATGTATTTAAGCTTCATTAATGTGCACCGGTGGCGGAGACTCTTCCAGGTCTGCGAAGGAATCGGGCAGCGTCTGGTGCAGCGTGTCGGGGACCAGGAAGGTGAGCGCCGCGCTCAGCAGAGGCAGGGAACCGAACAATACGGTCGGCAGCCACGCCCTGTACTCCGCCTGATCGAAAGTTTAGAGCAAACACGCTATATGAATAATAAATATATTCGGTCTGCGATTCGAAAATGGTATTTTTCCTAAGCACTTTCAATAAATTGTTTAGGAAAAATACGATTTTCGAATTTTAGATCTATTTGTTTGTGCAATTCCATTTCGAGAATTTCATTAGAGATTTTGAGAATCTTAATTGTAACATACCTAGTCAGGTCATAAATTCTGTCACATGTTTAATGTAAAATAATTGACACAAGTTTATTCATTATGTAACCATTCATATACCAAAATGAACTTAACAAAACATAGATTCTTATGACACTAAAGTTTATTCAAAATGACCTCCGTGATTTTGAATACAGGCCTTCAATCTGCGCGGCCAGTCGTCTATCGCAGCACGAACGAGGTCCATGTCAATATCGGCGGCTGCCTTAATCAAGGATGTCTTGAGTGACTCCAAATTGGGATGAGGCTTTGAGCACGCCTTTTCCTCCAAGTGTTGCCATATCTTGTAATCTAACGGATTCAAATCTGGACTGGAGGAGGGCCAGTCTTCGTGCCGGATGAAGTCGATTTCACGCGCCGCCAGCCAGTCTTGTGTGCTCTTCGCTCTATGAGCTGGCGCCGAATCTTGTTGGAATACCCAGTGCCTGTTATTGAACATGGTATGAGAAACAGGTTCCACAAGGTTCGTCAGGACTGTATTTTGATACACAACTGCATTCGTTTTTACACCTTTCTCACAAAAATGTACCTCTGTTAAGCCCCAATAAGAAACTCCCAACCATACCATGAGCGAGGATGGAAAATGACCTCGTTGGACACGCGGAATACGGTTGCTCGCTTCTTCACTACTGTGTGCGTACACCTTATCATTTTGTTTGTTGTAGCTCTCTTCTACGGTAAAAATTTTTTCATCCGAAAAAAGAATTTCCCGATATTTTTTTCCCGCGTACCGCTTCAACAAAGCGCGGCATCTCTTCAGTCTCAGGTCCATTAGACGAGCATTCAAACGATGTCCTGTTTTTCTTCGATATGCCCGAAGCCCTAAGTCTTCATTTAACACCCTTTTCACCGTGGTTCTGCTTAACCCCATCTGAAGGGCCAACAGTTTCTGCTTACGTTTGGGATTTCTTTGAATTCGCGCCTTCACAGCTTTTATCACTGCTGGAGTCCTAACAGACCGAGGGCGACCACTTCTTGACCTGTCATCTACACTAGAGTCTTCATTGTATCGTTTGATGGTACGATAAACGAATCTTTTGGTTATATTCAAATTTTTCAGTATGTTAAAAATTTGAATTGGCGCGTAACCGCAACGATGCAACGCAATAACTGCAACACGGTCTTCTTTAAGCGTCCACTCCATATTTAAAAATGAGTAAAATTCTAAAAGTATACATTTTTATTTTCATGAACAATTCGAAATTCGAATTCAATAAACTTTTTTGTGGCCAGCATTCTAAAAGAAAAGTTTTTACTGTGTGACAATACTTATGACCTGACTAGGTATATACCGTTAAAAGTGTATAATATAATACACCAGAACTTCAAGTAAATGAATAAGGGACTATATATTTTTTTATGATTGAGGGATTACCGCTTGTCCGGAGCCCTTTCCAGTATCACAAGGACAGATGGGCGAGCAAAGGCTCAGCCGGGAGGAAGGGGTGGGATTTGCTAACAACTGCTGAACGCCTCCAAGGGAGACCTAACAGCTCAAAAGTAGCGGCTTCGCGGATGAATCTACTACCGGATCGAAATCGTGACCCGCTGAGAAAATCTGGCGAGAAACTCAACGGGCTGACGCTTAGGTTAGGCTGCACCTCGAATTCGGCAGAGTCCGACGAGTACGGTCACCGGGCTCCCTACTCCTAATGCTAGAGCTGAAGGCGTCTAATGTAGGGGTTATTGAATCTGATAGATCCGTAAGGATGTGTCTAGGGCGTCGACGGTAATTGACTCCTGCGTGATCAGGATTCGGGGAGTAGTCAGCGGCGGCAAGAAGGGAGTATAATAATACCAGCAAAGACGTGAGCGGCGCGAATATGGCGCCGACGCGGCCCACGGCGGAGCAGGCGGCCAGCAGGCGGTGCCGCGCGCGCGTGGGGAACAGCTCCGCCGTGTACACGTACAGCGCGTTCAGCGACATCGTCACGCCCACCTTGCCCGACAGGTACAGAGCCGTGCCCCAACCTGTGCTCGCTGCAACATACTAACTATCGTTAGCAAAGCGTTCGCTTGCTTCCGTCTTCAGGTCAAGATGTGGCCCGGTCTGAAACATTGCACCTGATAAGAGGTCCTACCACCAGCACACTGAGGTCACTTCAACAGATTTGACACCGACCTTTAGTTCATACTGTTTAAAGAGCCGCTATACCAATAAAGGGCAATTCGTAACTAACACCAAACCAACTATGTGTGTGTGTGTGTTTGTGTTGTAGTGACTGAAATTATTGGGCGACTTTAATGTAATACTTTTTCATTCATGAAATCAAGTACCAAAAGCTAAGTGTGAAAATAATTATAAATGCTGATGTTTTTAATGCACACAGAATTGTCTAGATGTGAATTAAATAAATTGTAAGTATCTAGTGGTGATAGTAAAGTCTATTAATCTAATTTATAATTTAGCACAATGGCGGCTGCGTTCAGTTCAGATACTTTTTTAAAATTTACGTAGATAAACAGGAGTCGTGGAAGCAAAATTTATCTCATACGAGGTAGTATACGGATATGCCGCTACGGCTCGCGGAATATACTTAACCAGATGCAGACGATAACCGAGAACACGCCTATACTACCGAGTGCTCACATATTTGATCTGTTCCTGGCATTTACAAGGAGTGAGGGTAGTCAACTACTCACATTGAGGCAAGCACGGTAAAGTGATGAGCGACACGGCAGTGAGCAGCAGGGCGGCCGTGAGCAGCGGGCGGCGCCCCACGCGGTCCAGCAGCAGGGTGTTGAGCGCCAGCGCGGGGAGCTCCGCGCCCGCCACCAGCGCGTAGTTCACGTGCGCAGACCCCGCCAGCACGTGCGCGCGCACCGCCAGCCCGTAGAACACGAACACGCACGACAACCACCACACGCAGCACACGAACAGCCGACGACGCAGGACTTCATACCTGCTCGACATTTACTTGTTAACGAAGACGATCGTTACGTTTGGTCGGTCGGTCTTCTCAGCTTCTCAATCATCCTTTGTTTTTCACCAAATCAAGATAAAAATAGATTAAAAAGTAAAACATGGGCCCACATTGATTTTTAAAAATAAAATTTCACATAAATTCTTGATTGAGAACTAAGCCCCAAATGATATCCTAAAGTAAACAAACAACTCACTTGATCAAAGCACGCAGCAGACTTTCGTCCTGCAGGACCCCACTGCTCCCTATGGCTTCCTGCTCATTCATCACAGTCTTTTCTAAGCCTGCTTTCGGAATCGTCATCCGGTTACAGTTCAGAGCACTTCTGATGGTGGCCACAGCTTCGGAGACTCTCCCTCTAGTGATCAGCCATCGGACGCTCTCAGGTAGCACCCAAGGGTATAAGAGAAATAAAAATGACGGTGGATATGCTATTCTGGCCCAGAGTCTCCAGTGACCAGTCAAGTAGTCCAAGAGTGATAAAAAAGCAGCTCCAAGGGACAGCGGGATGCCGAGCACGAAGCTGGCCAGGACCCTGTGCTCGACTCCCAGCCATTCGATCACTGGAAGACATTAACAATTAATCGTCTGGGACAACGCGACTGTAAAGTATTCGGAATCGTACAGGATTCGGAAATAATAAAATAAAAACAATAATAAGCTATCTTTATCTGTAATTATGTCTACAAGTTGGGAAGACTGAAGGAAATATTAAATAGAAATCATTTATTTATTGTTATGTTGTTGGTTATTGAAGTTTTGTCGTAATATGATTTACAAGTGACGTCAGCTCGGGCCTGACGCGCTGCACCGGTAGCTACGACACCACACCTAAGTGATCCTCTATTGCGATCAGAGCTGAGCATATTAATTATATTTAAAAGCTTCCAAAATTGATTTGTCCTATGTTCACGATTGCTCACCATCAACGAAGGCAGCAATAGGTAGTAGTATTCCTGACATTGTCAATGTGCGAGTGCGATGATGGCCACTAACGATGCCCATATCCAGAGCCCTACGACCTGCTTCTTCTTCTAATAAACCCCGCTTATTAAGTTCAAACGTCGAAGTACCTGCCAAAAGCAGTAACTACACTAACGACGATGATGCTCCCTGTGCAGACTTTATTCGTACCTGTGTAGAAGTGCACACTGGTACAGGCGGCTTATTGTGACTACACTCTGACTACCTCTTCAGATTCTCTAATTCACAACTAAACCGAAAGTATGTATAGCGTCATTAAATTGACTAGTGTTCGCCTAATGATCGGAATTCTACCAGTATCATTGACACCTCAAAATTTAGATTCATTACGTTTTCCCAATTATTTTCCAGCGACACCTATTTTTAGATACATCACATTATACCTAGGTATAAAGCTTCTACTTCCATCTCCCCACGTTTGCGTTATCAGTATCTGAGTAGATCATCAGAGCATTAGTTCAGGTCAACTATTAATAAATTCCACTCTAGCCGATGTACAATAAAACGTGGTAAACAGGAAAATGTTACTTCTCTTTTTGTTAAGTCTATACCTAATGATAATTGAAATTATCATGTTGAACTTTGATATGATGTTGATTACATTGGTACATTCTATTAGCGAAGTCAAGCAGTAGGTATGTGTAGCTGTTGTGTTAAACCAAACGTACTCAAGACAAAGGCCGACGGGTAGACGCTCGCTCCGAAGGCAGTCTCCAGCATCTCGGCTGTCACATACATGTAGTAGGACCCGACGAAAGACTTGCAGAGGCCGAACACTCCTGCGCCGCAGCTGCTCACAATCAGGGCGCTCCGACGACCCCATCTACGCGCCATGAGGTAACATAAGAGCTACGCAACGACTGTGTTTCCAATATTTTTTACGTTAGGGAATCCAATTTACAGCTACCCATTTAGTCGATGGGGATCAGGCTGAATTATGTCGGATTTTATACAGTGACTGGCGAAGCATGGTTTGTTTTTACGGATTGTGTCTGTGTGTTACGGACGTGTGTGTGTTAAGTACGGACCATTTGCAGTGCACCACATATTGCAGTGGTTCCACTGAAGTCTTGTAAATGTCGTCAAAGTAATGTTTATGAACACAGAATACTTACCTATCCGATATGAAGCCTATGATGGGCAGAGAGATGAGCATTCCCACACAGTGAATGGTGCCGACTAACGACCGCATCCACTCCTTGCAGGCCAGGTCGAACTGAAATATCCAATACCCGAATATAAAGGCTAAGCTCGCCGAATGGTCGATGAAACGGGAAAAGCATTTAGGTATTTCTGCCGTGAAGCAATAATGCGTTTCGGTTTGAAGTGTGGGGCAGCAGTTGTAATATAAAAACTGAGACCTTAGAACTCATATCTCAAGATAGGTGGCGGCATTTGATTTGAGTTGATTTACGTTGTAGATGTTTGTAGGCTCCGGTAACCACTTAATACCAGATGCATCTAAGTTATAAAAAAAACTTAGATCAGACAGTGGTACCGACCCGCGCTGACTCATATCACAAATACTTGTGAGAGGAATACAGTGAATAAGTAGAGAAGTATGGTGTGCAGGAAAGGAAGTGTTAGCTCGAGGAGGCTGGGGTTACACTAAATGGTAACGATCAATCACCTCTACAACAATACTACTTGACGCCCGATACACGAAGTTCTCGCAGACTTCTGAAGTGCTGTTGTCGAAAGCGTCAGCGGTACAAGCCCCATCCAAGTGCTTCGGGCTCCATCTTCTACAAGGATCATTGGGAACCAGAGCCCATTTTGTCCAAGGTTGAGACCAGGTCTCTGCCGTCACCGAGACCTTGCTCGAAGATCCTTCACATTCTGGGACACGACACCTAGAAACACCACGGTTATTAATTGGTTTTGCCATAGCGGGACGAAAAAGGCAATATATTCATGCATTCAGAAAACAGCTGAAGTGCAAGACGAATTCACGTGCAGAAGCTTTCATATGGTTTAGTTTTCGTTATTTTTTTCGCTTAGATAGGTGATCAAGCTAACGGTCCACCTGGAACTAAATGTTAGAGGAACCCGAAATCATAATGTGGAGGCCACCATCCACCTCCAGGCATGAGGTATACATATCTATTGTCTAATGTAGCGGCTACCCCACCCCTCAAATCGGAATGCATAGTAGAATAGAATAGAGTATATGTTTTATGAGTTTAGAGTACAGGTCGGCCACTAGTTGGAAAACGGTGGAACTCCAGACGACCAGCTCCATAATCAAAACAATTCCGTGTTTGTCAAATCAACCTAATAACTGTATAAAGAGGCTTGAGTGTGCTCCTGGCTGCCATTGTTAACATCCATGACCAACGAACGAAGTCGTCGTGGTCCCGGTGCATTATATTAATAATTTAAATATGGATGAAATAGAAACATGTGAAGCCAGAACACATTAATAAATTTTTCAAGGATAATTTTAAAGAAAAAAGTTAAACACAATGAACTTTTTATTTAATTATTTTTTTCGCTACTGAGACAAATTCGCTCGGCATCAGAACTAATATCTGAGTCACAAAGCCAATTCGCATTCACTTTTCCGTTTGAATACGCACTCAATAGTATTTCCCATTGAAAAAAGCTGCAAAAGTGAACGTTATTTCGAAACAAAAAAAAGTTAAATAAAACTTAAATTAGAAGTGAATTCAAACATTTTTTCTTTGAACTTGATGATTGATGTTTTTATTCAGCAGTTGACGTATTCAATAGTTCGGTTTTTGCAGTGAGCTTGTTCGTGCAATGTTCGATTATTGTTGTCGCTTTTTCAACATATCGGTTTCGGCCATGACTGGGGTGGAATAAAAACTTCGTTACTTTCTTAAAAAAGGATTATATAGGAGTCTGGCTTTAATAGATGCCTGTAGATCTTCAAATAGTTTCTAGAGGTTTCCAAGGATTGTAACTAGCGGACCCGACAGACGTTGTCCTGCAAAAATGCATTCAAGTCGATCCAGCCGTTTATTTGTAGTATAGATAAATAGCCTGGATACCGACTGCGACGCCATCTGCCGGACTGATTTGTGAATCTAAACCATCCAGGGCGCCACCCAAACGTATACAAAAAAAACATTCAATTCGGTCCAACCGTTTAGGAGTTCAGTGACAAACACACGCACAGAAGAAATATCTATATATACGTGAAGCAAAAACTTTGTATCCCATCGAATTGCGGCTACTGCGGGAACCACTAGTATATATAAAAATTTATCTAATTTATGCTCGCTTCTACTGTATTCATTATACGAAACTTCGTGGTCACGGACCACTGAGCTGTTGTTCCGAATGCTTACTGTTTATTACTCGATTTTTGTGTTATTACACGAGACGAATGGATTCGTTCTTAGCCCGCCTGGTAGTAGCTTGTCACTGGACCCCACAGCCCGTAGACAAACAACATTGTGCATGATGTATGAGATTGAAGTCTCAATTTATGTTAAATCCTTGTATTGGCTTTATAATATATTTATTACATAACTGTTTGTTTCGTGACATAACTAGGCAGGATAGTGGTTCCGACCGGCGGCGCGGCGGCGCGGCGGCGCGGGCCCACAACATTTATTACACAGCGAGGCAAACAAAGTTACAACACATTTGATTTTAAACAATTGAGAAATAAACATCATGACATTGTGAGTGACAAAATCTACAGACACATTTTAGCTAGGTTGTGTGACACTTGACAGTGAGGCTGGGCCGCACTAAGGTTCTCCGCGGGGGTCGTGACGTCATCGCGCGAGCACGCCGCAGTCCGCCGCACGCGCCGCGATCACTGTCGTCGCCGGTTCTATTGCACAGGTGCAACTAAACTACGTCAACTTGAGAAAAGGTTAATACGTTTAAATATTAACACATTATTATTCAAGTATAAACATGTAAAAAATATGTCTAATTTGTGATGACGTAATTATAGTCCGTATTGTTAGCGTCGCGTCGGTACGGTTGTTTGTCTCATCCCTACGGTCAAATTGCAAAATAATCTTTACACCAAGTTTTTTTACACATTTTGGTGTAGGAAGCTGTGCCACCACTGCTGTGCTGTGCTGTGCTGTGCTGTGGACTACGCTATGTTCCAATTCAAGTACCAATTATTCTGAATCGTTAAGTGGAACGTAAAGGTTTGCGTTAACGGACGACGCGGACGCCCACGAGGAAGGATCGATGGATACAAATGGACTTTAGAACAGAGCAGCGATAGCAACTGCTTATAATTTTACAACTAGGTATTACTGAATTGATATTATTGGGGATTTCATCAGTAAAGTGAATATTACAAAAGATGTGGCTTGTGTATGTACTTCTTGTAGGTACTTGTGTCGTCTATGTACTGCCTACGCACCGATGTTGACTGCCTAGATCTGCAGACACCGATGCGCTGAGGACAATGCAACGTGCAGGCTGCAATGTGCAGAGTCGTCACTAGTTTCCAAAGATACCGCGCCATCTCTTCCGAAGCGGCGCTCTCACCGGGCCGCCTCCCTGGAGGCTGGAGGCGGAGGCGCTCGACGTCGATTGTGTTGTAGCGATGTGACTTACGCGACAGTGGGGGGCCCTTCCCAGCGAAAGAGCGATTAGAGCCCGGGGGCTCCAATTTCAGCGGTCCGTACTGAAGGCGTGGAAGATGCCACATATTCGATTATTTCTGTTCGATCACAAATCTACCACATGTGGAGGCGCGGGGCACATCCAGTTTTGACTAAATCTTTTAATGTAATTAGTCTTACTGGTTTTATGCATTTTAAAGGTTTACGCGCCTCTCTATAAATATATAAGTTTTCCGTATTTTTCAAAGATAGCGTACGTAATATCTATAACTAACCAAATAATGAGCATTATGCGAGATTGCGTAAAACATGTTTAGCGTGTTACACGGAGTCCAACCGTGAGAGAGAGTCTGTTGCGAACCAGAAGGTACTCTGCAGCTACGACCCTCGCACCGCAGGCTGCCGGAATCTTGACAGAACATTTAGCCCCTTCTCCGCACTTCTGGGAGAGAGAATAACTTTTCAGACAGAGACGTCTGGGAATATGCCAGTCAGATTATACATTTCCAATACAATAAATTTTAATACACTTTGAAAATTATGATAACATAAATTCAATTTGACGTTGTGATTATACAACATAGAGGGCGCCGTCGACTCGTGTAGCGTGTGAGCCGGGGTTATCGGCGACACAGTTTTTTTGCGGATGATAAGTTCCGTAACAGCTTACCGCGATAGTTCAAATCATTTTATAGTAACGTTCGTACAAAGTTTTTACAAATGTTGTATTTGCGTTGCGACCCTTCTGAATGGCCCGCAGTTGAAAAAAAACATTCGACTCGTGGGAACACACGATGAATTGAAAACTATAAACACGAGATCTGTGCGTAGCGCAGTTAGACTTGTTATCTACAACATTCATTTTATTTATTTTTTTATTACTTATGTGGGTGAACGAAACCGAAACGCATTACTGCTTCACGGCAGAAATAAGCAGGGTGGTGGTACGTACCCGTACGGAGTCACAAGAGGTCCTACCATCAGTAAAGTTTAAGGCTTAGTCTCGCGTCTCACATATTGACATTAACTTCTCGAGGTGCCGTCTTCGCAGCGTATGAGGACCGCCTTATCGTGCACGTGTTAGCAAGCGTTAACCGTATTCAATATGAAGTTAGGGTATCCATACAAGATGACTGGCACCAATGTACAGAACTTGTTGACAACTGCAGACTTGGTCTCTACTCGGTCAATCTTGATATCCGCAAAATGCTCCTTAACTCATGTTTGTCTTAGTCTGTGCTATGTATGAGAGCTGAGAGCCCACAGTTGCAGACCAGTATACAGAAAGAGTCCTGTAGGGCCCAATTCTTTTTTTTTTTTTTTTTATTCTTTTTTTGTTGCCTTTGTAGGCAAACGGGCATACAGCCCACCTGATGGTGAGTGGTTACCGTCGCCCATGGACTTCAGCAATGCAAGGGGCAGAGCCAAGTCGCTACCTACCGCTTAATACAGAGCTAATAATAAGGACTAATGCCACAGCAATAATATTACGTCCCTATCTTTTTTTTTTATGTTGAAAGATTACTGGTGGCCCGGAGGCCTTTCCAGTTTCACCAGGACAGGTGGGCGAGCAAAGGCTCAGCCAGGAGGGGTGGGATTTGCTAACAGCTACCCGAGCGCCTCCGAAGGAGACCTAACAGCTCTGCAGCTGCTTCGCGAATGAATCTACTACCGGATCGGAATCGCGACCCGCTGAGAAGATCCGGCGAGAAACTCAGCGAGCTGTATCATGGGTTAGGTTGCACCGACCTCTTTGTCGAGTTCGACGAGTACGGTTACCGGGGTTCCTAAGCCTACTCCTAGTGTTAGCGCTGAAGGCCTCTAGTGCAAAGGTTATTGGATCTGATGGATCCGTAAGGACGTGTCTAGGGCGTCGACGGTGACTGGCTCCTGCGTGATCAGGATTCGGGGAGCAGTCAGCGGCGGCAACGATAAGGCGATTATCATGACGCATAACCTTATCGAAGTACCGTTCCGACGCTGACTTCATGTATTTCTGGACTGATTCGAGGCCCAGGTCGTCGTGTAAGTCAACGTTCCTCACGAACCACGGAGCCCCAACGGCTAACCTGCAAAAGCGGGATTGTAGGGATTAGAGGGTGTCTATGTGTGTGCGGGCCGCGTGAGCGAACACCACACTCGCGTAAGTCATGACGGGCCTTATGCAAGTTTTGTAAAGTGTCACCTTGTTCCGAAGGGACATTTTACTTCGCTTACAGATCATGCGATAAATGCGGCACGGTCGTCTGCCGAGAATAAATGCGGCGCGGTCGCGGACTGTTTTTATATGCGGGCGGAATGTCATGGATGCATCCAGGGTGACACCCAGGTACTTGACCTTCCTGGCCCAGGGTAAAGGTTGGCCGAAGAGGGTGATCGGGGGTGTGCGTCCCTATCTGTCTCATGAACATACGGGCACTGGGGTTCTCTCGTCGCATACATTTTTGTACTTGACCGCAAACAATTATCAGTTACAGTTTACTAGGAGCAGGGCATCTTATGAGTCCGCACGGGTAGGTACCACCACCCTGCGTATGTCTGCTACGAGGCAGTAACGCATTTCAGATTGAAGAGCGAGGCTGCCGCTACAACTAGACAATTGAAACGTAGACCTCAAGTCTTAAGATGGTCGTGAAATTCACGTAATGGTGTTTGTTTGCTACGGTCGCCTGCTAACAGCAGGGGGCCGCGAGCTCGTTCATCTATGCTCGGAAATAAATATTATATATGAGTCGACTATTATCAAAGGCGGCAATCTGACTTTTGGACAATGATTGGTAAATCAGAAAAACGAATTATTGACTTTGTATTCCATCGGCAGTCACAAAACTCTTCGGAACGACATCTTAGATAAATAACAGGTTAAGTATTAACCTTTATTTAATGCAGGTTTTGAACCGTATTCTTTGAAGGAGACGATTATATTCAAATCAATCTGTATTGACATATCAATAAAAAAAAATTGTCCAAATGCACAGATTGTCACCTTTGATAATAGACGACTCATATGTGGGGCCTTCTATTCGGGTTAGGCCAGTTTGTGACACAGTTGATGACTTCACACAAACTTGATTTTTATTACGTCTTTCATAATTTATGTAACTAAAATTTATACGTCTTACGTCTTCAGAGTTCCACCGCGTCTGTCTGCCGTTGCGTCCGGCTACCTTCTTACTTAAAAAATAAAACTATGTGTCCAACATACATTCGCCGTCTTTCTTACTTCCTAACACGACACTTCACAAATTCTCCTATCTCTCTCACTCAGTCATGCTCCATAACTGGCATTCATCCATACCGTTCTGTTCCTACATATATTATTTTTAGCAAGAAATTAATACTTATTCAAAGGTAAATTAGCTATCACATATTTTTCCAACAACAGAAGTGGCATTATAAAACACAGACGTCACGAAGTCATTAACAATTTAAATGCATTGCTAATAGATTGTGACGAGAGCGTTCGTAAACACACATTACTTTGTGATTAAGCACAGACGCGGGTCTCGCACTCCGCCCCGGTGAATTTAGGCTGTTACCAGAGCCGGAGATCAGAGACCAGATCGAAGTTTGGAATGTCTTCAGCGATGCGTGATTCCTTCCGCCAGGACGGTGACGGCGGCGGATCACCCACGGCCTACTATTAAATCCTTACCATGAACATTCAGAGTATTGTCTTTGAGAAGAAGTCTAACAGCTTCTTGTTTTGGCTCTGTTTCCAACACACGTAACACAATGTGGAACTTCTCTACTGATGGGCAGGTGTGGTTGGCGGACAGAGTATGTATCGCTTCGAATATATTTTGTAAAATACCCCCGTTAGGCTACTAGCGATTAGTTTGGGGAACAAAACATTATTTATGTATCTGTGTTCACGGCTGCTTACAATTAGGTACCAATCATGACAACACCGCAATTCTTTTTCAGATAGACGAATCTAACAGAATGTAACAACTTCATTATGTCTATTGTATCTAAATGTAATTATGATTTATAAAGGAACTAGAAATAAATTTGTGATTTAGCCGTAAAAGTATTGTAAACGTCACTGATAGGGTTTTTATTAAAACGCACCTGTACTCAGTAGGGCCCGCCAGGAACACGTAGTTCGTTCCGTAGGCGCCGGTGAGGAACACGGGCAGCGCCAGCAGGAGGGCCAGCCTCACTTGCCATCGGCCCCAGCCCGAGCACCATTCCTCTTTCACTTCACTTGCCATCTCTACACTTTATTATAGAACAATAAATGTCAGCGGCGAGCTGGACGGAAACTCCACCCTATTCGAAACGTGGGATTTCATAAAAATGAAATAACCAACGAAAAATAAAAAGTAAGTTGAGCAGCAGTGCACGCAGTCCCGCACCTAGACGACGCGCGACGCGACGTCTCGTAACACGAACAACAAGTCTAACGCAGGGCGCGTCGCGTGCGGCGGACACACGCTCTCAGAATGAACACAAATCATTAACATCATTCGTGTAGCCTAAAATTAAAAGGCGAAAACGGTTCGTCAACTACATATCATAATGTTCTTAACAAAATAGACCTTACGCTCTCACAATAAGAACGTCAGACAAACGCGGAAATCCATTTTTTTATTTATCCGTTTAACCCAGTTTAATTTCTTTTCTAAATGTATGTGCTATATTGCCGTGGGAGAGCTTACCAAGTTCGTTGGCAGTACAGATGTGAGCTTACAAACAAATGAATCAAAATAGCGGCGCGCGCACACAGCTCGTGTGGAGAAGTGGTATGAGCTTTAAGGTGTTAATCAAGTGTGATCCTCCTGAGTGGCTGGTGTTAGAGCCGCCCACTGTCACATCATGCAGCACGCATTGCACGTGAATCCCTCTTCGTGCATCCGTTTAATTCTTCCCGCTTTTTACTATTGATTGGCCCTTCACATCCATCTGTCTACTTTTCAGTATAGAGTCGATTATAAAACAAAGCACGTGCATACAAATAACTGAGTTCGCAAGTCAAGTAATGAATTTCTAGTAGCATCACCTGTACATAGCTCGGACATCCCCTGAATCGCGCTACAGTAATTTATAAATGCTCGTACCTAATAGAGTACCTACCTCCTAACGAACCAGTTGGTTCTACTCGTGTGCTTGAACTGGTAAGGAGCATTACACAATATAAATATTTATTGCAATAATGTGACTACATTTTCCCTGGATACAAAAATGAATTTCTAAAAAAATCGGAAGCGCCTGCGGCTAGATGTTTTACACATCATAGAACGCATTGCTAAGATAATCATATACTAGATAGAGCTAAGTCGCTTGACCGTGCATTTTTATTATTAAGTATAGGGCAGAGGAGTAAACGAGTTCAAGGTGCACCTTGGATCTCAGGGGCGCCATTAGAGGAGGCCTGTATCCTGTAGAAGAAAAGGGTGACCACAACGCCGCCGTCTCATTCCTCCTTAGTGCTTCACGTGTCTGAGGGTCGTGACCCCGTGATCCATGAGTTTCGTTGTCACGATATTGCGCCATCTCGTCCTTTCCTCAGCTACTGCGAGAGCATCCCAGACGATGGAATCGTTTTTTTTTGTTGCTTTTATGTATGGACAACCAAATGGTGCGGACCTGGTCAGACCAATACATTGGACTGCACCACCGCGATCCTTTTCCTACCACTTTGCCAGTAAGCACCAGCTTTTTTAGATTTACTGCGTATTTTCTAGCAATCTGTCCGAAGTACTGTAGGATTCGCTTGAGGTAGATGCCAGAAAGGCTTGTTTTAATTTCGATCATCACAAGTAAATATTAATGCGTTGGTCCTATATGCAGTCCATTGGAACCGCAGCATTTTTCTCCAGCACCATACTTCGAATTCATCAACACGTTTGTGATCCGTCCTCGGTCTCATTATCCCATTTTAAATGAAGGAATACCTGCACGTTAAAGGCAGGCGTGGTGCGCTGGTGAGATAAAGCAGGCTGCCTCCAGGTACATCATCTTGTCGTTAGTCGCCGTTAGTCTGCCCGAATAGTCGGTGAGTAGATTTTACAAAGATTTTTAAAGAGCCGGAAGCACTTAGTAATGTTATAAGATAAGAATGCACAGAAACGATCTAGCACTGCCCCCTGGACGGGTGACCGACGCGCTGCTCCAAAAACAACTGCACAGGGTAGTAGGCAGCGGACGGAGCCGAGACGACCAGGATCGCGCGCCTTGGGAGAGGCCCATATCCAGCAGTAAAGCGTAATAAGCTGTTAATTATAATAATAATGGCTCAACACCTTACCATAAACAGAATCAGCACATATTAATTTATCAAATCGTAGCACGTGAACCACAATCTCAAGGAAAATGCCACTTGAGAACGCCCCACTCCTGTTAGCTAATCCCACCCCACCTGGCTGAGCCTTTGCTCGCCCACCTGTCCTTGTGTAACTGGAAAGGCCTCAGGGTCACCAGTAATCCTATCATCATAAAAAAACTCCGCTCTCCGCTCCCTGCTCTCCACTCTCTGCTTCCTGCTCCCCGCTGTCGTGCGAAATAGTAGATCGTCTGCTGATTCTTAGAAGCAATGTAATGTAACACTGGCCCGGGAATGTGGTGTGTTATATTTAGTGAATATTATTACTGCAATTTATCTTCATTTTCAAGCACGGTTTCCTTGCATTTGCTACATGAGCGTCTTCTTCTCTTCTACTTAGTCTGGCCATAAATACTGTTACAATTAAAAATAAAAATAAATTCTATAGCAAACAACATTTATTACTTTTACAGTGTGTTAGTTTAATACATAAATATAAAACAATTTAAAGTATAAAAAGTTTATTTGAAGTAGTCTCCATTGGCTGCATTACAGTCCTTTAAACGTTGAGGCCAGTTATCAATAAAAGCACACACTCTTTCCATGGGAAAATTTTTCACTGCCAATCGTACGGATTGTTTTAGGGACTCCAAATTATCATGGCATTTAGAGGAAGCCGTACTCTCTAAAACTGACCATAAATCATAATCCAGCGGATTAAGATCGGGACTAGACGACGGCCAGCCTTCAGCTCTGATGAGGTCCGAAACGTTCGTTTCCAACCAAGATTGCGTAGACCGAGCTTTATGACCTGGCGCCGAGTCTTGCTGGAAGGACCATTCTTGATTATTGAACATGGTGTTGTTAAGGGGCTTCACTACCTTCTCAAGAATGGTATCTTTATACACTTGTGCCGATGTTTTGATACCCTTTTCACAAAAATATGGCTCAGTCACTCCTTCATAGCGAATACCCCACCAAACCATCACTGAAGTCGGGTAGTGTCTATCTTCCCCACCCAACGTAGTCTCGCCTTGTCGCGGCGGTGGGGCTTAAGCGTGCACCCCGATACCGTGGAGCAACGTTGTCTGCACAGGGGTGCCGCGAACAAAGAAGACGGAACACCGTGTTCCCGTTTCCCACCTTTGCTGGACAAAGGGTGCGTGAAGCGGGAGATGGCTCCCTTCTGGAGCCCTCTTGGATCCTAGGCCATGTCCCCGGCAGCTCTTTGGCTGCTAAAGGGGAAGGCCCTCCAGAGGAGGGTACCGGTACGCCGGCGTGGCCACACCGTGGTCAGACGTGTGGGTCTGTCAGTAATGGTAGAGCCCACGTGGATGAGAAGTGAACCGGAGGGCACTCCCTTCCGGTCGCTGGTTGCCATGTCCCCGGCTGCCTCTTGGCGGCTACAGGGGAAGGCCCCCCAAAGGGGGGTACCGGTCTACCGGCGTGGCTTCGAAGAAGCACACCTCAATCCCTACCGAGTAGGGGACGAGGGCTGCTGCCTAGCAGGGGCCGTGAGGATGCGAACCTCTATAAAAAATGCCCCAATCCCAAGTTTTTGACACCTGACGATGGGATGAATGGCTGGAGGGAGTCTAGTCCCAAGGGTTGTCTCATACCGTAATCCCCACTTGGTGGGGGGCGGGGGCCGCTGCCTAGTAGGGGCCTGTCGCGTTCGCGGAGGAGGAAGCTCGGCTGCACCGCGAATATCGCGCTGCGAAGGACGCCCTGCGGCTGGCCATCAGGCGGGCCAAGGAGCAGAACATGGAGAGACTCTTGGAGGCGCTCGAAGCGGATCCGTGGGGGAGCCCATACAAATTGGTACGCGGCAAGCTACGCCCGTGGGCCCCCTCTATGACTGAGCGCCTCCAGCCTCAGCAGCTGCGGGACATCGTTTCGGCGTTGTTCCCGCAGGAGCGGGAGGGTTTTGTCCCTCCCGCTATGGGCGGGCCGTCTGACACCGTCGACGGCCGAGCTCCTGCTGAGGTGCCCCGTATTACCGAGGCAGAGCTCCGGGTGGCCGTTGTCAAGATGACTACGAAAGACACGGCCCCCGGCCCGGACGGAGTCCACGGCCGGGTATTGGCCTTGGCCCTCGGTGCCCTGGGGGACCAGCTCCTTGAGCTATATAATGGCTGCTTGGAGTCGGGACGGTTTCCGTCGCTCTGGCGGACGGGTAGACTTGTGTTGTTGAGGGGCGCCCGGTGGATACAGCCGCCGGGTATCGTCCTATCGTACTGCTGGACGAGGCGGGAAAGTTGCTGGAACGTATTCTGGCTGCCCGCATCGTTCGGCACCTGGTCGGGGTGGGGCCTGACCTGTCGGCGGAGCAGTACGGCTTCCGGGAGGCCGTCCGACCGTGGATGCAATTCTTCGCGTGCGGTCCCTCTCGGACGAGGCCGTTTCTCGGGGTGGGTGGCACTGGCGGTGTCTCTTGACATCGCCAACGCATTTAACACTCTGCCCTGGACCGTGATAGGGGGGGCACTGGAGAGGCATGGAGTGCCCCTCTACCTCCGCTGGCTGGTTGGGTCCTATTTGGGGGCCAGGTCGGTCGTATGTACCGGGTACGGTGGGACCCTTCATCGTTTTCCGGTCGTGCGTGGTGTTCCGCAGGGGTCGGTTCTCGGCCCCCTCTTGTGGAATATCGGGTATGACTGGGTGCTGAGGGGCGCCCTCCTCCCGGGCCTCCGCGTTATTTGTTACGCGGACGACACGTTGGTCGTGGCTCGGGGGGATGATTATAGGGAGTCTGCCCGTCTCGCCACAGCGGGAGTGGCCCTCGTCGTCGGAAGGATAAGGAGGCTGGGTCTCGACGTGGCGCTCAGTAAATCCGAGGCTCTGTGGTTTCACGGGCCGCGGAGGGCGCCACCCGTTGACACCCACATCGTGGTTGGAGGCATCCGGATAGGGGTCGGGGTGCAGTTGAAGTACCTCGGCCTCGTGTTG